GCACTTGTTTCTACTAGCTTCTTGTTACTACTAGTAAGGCACTTGTTACTACTAGCGTGGCACTTGTTTCTACTAGTTTCCTCGGATGTCTCGTGACAAGATGTGACAAGGCACCGGGATGGCACAAGGCTCCGGCCAGGAACGATGAATCGAACAGTGGATTTGCGCATTTTTTGGTCTGGCTGACTGGTAGCTTCTTTAAATGTTGATTAAGAATCCTCTTGGGAAAGGCAAAGATCATTTAAGACCTCAAAGGAGTGTGCTGGGTCTTTGAAAAGTCCTCAGAGCCCTTCAAGGCCCTGAGAAAAGCAGCACTGATATTGTTTGCACGCCCTTGAGGAGCTGGGTATTGTCCAATTACGGCCTGCAGGGCCTCACGTCACCGGCTCAATGTCGCGGCGCAACTCGTGTGCTGTTGCAGCAGTCTGATGAGGATTAAATGAGGGCCAGCTGGCTGCCAAAAGCGTGTTGCTTGGTGCGCAAAAGCGTTGAAGTGTTTATCTTAAGCGCTTCAATCAAAGCCGCCTGTGCGCTTCTGTCGTTTGTTTGTGCTTTCCCTCTGCTTAGTTGCTTGCCTTCCCCATGGAAGGCAGCAACCGTCATTGTTGGTTTCCCCATGGAAGTCTTCAACCTCCCCCCCTTTGTGTGTGTGCCTTCGCTTGGTCTCCTTGTCTTCCCCCGTGTGGGCTAGGTCATCTCGGTTGTACCCTGTGCTCATAAGAGTCCCGTGACAAGGCTGCTCTATGCCGAGATCCACGCAAACAAAGAACATCGCACGCTCCTGGAAATGACCAATGGTGCCTGGCGAGGACCCTTCCCCCCCACATTGTGTCTGACTCTTGGAGGTTTCCTCACGAAGGGCGAATAGAGAATAGCATGATCATGAACGACAGAGTTGCACATGGACATCTCTGACTCTGTGTGATTCTTACATTACCGGGAACGGAAAATCTCAAGCGCAAACATGCAATGTCGTTGAAACTGCGTCAGCTTTGTTTCTCGCCTGGCCGTCATTTTGGTTAAACAGACTCCTGGTTCGGAATTTCTGCGCAGGCCGCCCAAAGAGTGGCAGACCACAGATGCTGCAGATGTTGATTGGGACATTTCGCACTGGCTGAAGATTTGTGGACAGACGCGCAGTTGTTATATGTGTTTCGGGGGTTCGAAACCTTGGGCACGCAGGGGAAAGACAGACGACAAGTAGTGCAGCCTGCGAATATATTTGAACCTGTGGCGCAAGAGATAAATATAAAATATTTGCCTCACAGTGTGTGCAATCAAGACCGGTGTTCTGTCAGTGTCGCCCAAGTCACAGAGGCTCAAGTTGATTTCTCACCACATGCGCATCAGCAGCTGATCTTTGTCGGTTTCTCTGCTTCTTCCCCTAACACTCCACGTTCTCATGAGTCCTAAGACCAAGTTTCAGGAATGTTTATGTTAAACTTTCACTTGGGATGATTGAATCCATTGAGCAACCATTTTCCAGTGAGTAGAAACCATCAACCATTGTTTGTTGGTCACTTGTTTTCTCCCTGCTTGGCCACCCGCCACCGCGATGCTCCACACTGCTCGAGAACCACTCCGCACAGGCTCCGTTGATGGTGGCCCTGAGCTGCGCGGCGGGAGAAATGCTGGAGGAGTTTGGCAGTCAGGACAGGTTGGCAGTGATAAAGGAGCTTGGTTGTCATGCACTGCACTTGTATTGATGAGAAGAAGACATATGCAAGAGTTTGTTTGTGATCTTGGACCTCAATGGTATTGTTTGCTATTGGCAGTCAGTTTGCTTGAAGGGCAACTGCTGTAGGGCGTGTTGGAATCTCTGGAAAAAGAGTTCAGACCTGGTGGAACTGCAAAGGGGGCCAACGACCAACCTGGCCCAGTGGATCCAAACAATCCTCGAATGTTTAACGGTCACCGATGGTTTCAGATCGAGGGTCAAAACCGTAGATCGACCGAGGTTCGCTTTACGACCGACCGCGTGGTGGTAACAGGATCCACTGAGGGTGAGTTTTGTGCACGGATTTGTTCAGCCGATGGGAAAGCAGCAAGTGTTGGTTTTCGTTCCCTCTCACCCCAAACCACCCAGTGGCAGTCCCAGTGGCCACTGGTGATTTCTTTCCGGAGGGTGGTGGAATCTGATGGGAAACTTCGGTGCAACTGCCCATGTCGTATCAAACACCTGCGTGTTGTAGCACCTGCCGGTTGAGAAATAGAGTATATCTGTTGTTGTGGAAAAAAAGCGTTTGATCAGATGTTTCAGGTGATCACCTACTAGCGAAGGACCCTCCACGAAGGACCCGGATGTGTCACCCCCCTTGTTCCGACGGGTGTATAGATGAACCCGTATACAGGAACCGAACGAATCCAAGGACGCAAGATGCAAACAAAAAGCTCCATCGCCAGTTGGACCGTTAAGCTGGAAGCTGCATCAGTTGATATGAAACTGTCGGGTTCCTTCGATTTCAGTTGGTAGTGCTTGAAGTTCTCTCCATGACAAGTGTTTGACAGCTTGCTCTTCCCCTTTCCCTTCGTTCCTACATGTCCCTCGACCCACTCGTTCGGCGGGTTCGCCCCCCCGAAGTCTCCGCTGGAGGATCTGTCCAACCTGCTGCAGGAGAGGGGTGGGTCAAGAACGTGCCGTGTACGGGATATGTCTCGATGTGTACAACCAATAGGTAAACTGACTGGTGCTTAGTAGGGAATGAGGGAATGAATCCAAAGGAATCTCTATTGGGGCTCAGCCACCCTCATTCCCTACGAGTCGCACCAGTCAGTAAATGGTACCAAACCGACCCCTTTACTCGTCCTAAAAAGGACATCATTGGTCGGTCGAATGGGCCAACTCCAAGGGTGCCTGTGGGCGTGTGCCGTGGGCTTAGTCCACGTCAACCGTGCAAAAATAGAGCGAGAGGCGATAGGTGAAGCCATGTAATTTAGTTGGAATCGACATTTCTGGAGTTCACCAATGAATTATATAATTGGTCATGTACACTGGATTTGTACTGCAAGATGAATGCATCCAATCACCAGAGTGAACCGTTCTTGGAACTAAATCCATTTCATCCCACGGCCCACGACCATGTCCTCAGGGGGTCCTAATCGAGTCCTTAACTCTTCACATCCTTGGCACCGACCCGCAGACACTTCACCAGGCCTTGGCCCAAGTGGCGCATCGGGAGGGTGCCTTCTTCACTGCACTGGCCCGCGTGAACGTGGCGCAAGTGACGCGAGGCGCCAAGCCGCAGGCCTTGAGCAACAGCGTGTGAGGCGAGGCCCAGCAGGGCGGGCCAGCGGCGCGTGGCACAGCGCGTGGCGCGTGGCACAGCAGGGGCACCGAGTGGCGGGCCACGTTTGAAGTGGACGGAGTTTCGTCCAAAGTCAGGGTGTAAAGAGAGGTATCGTTGAAAGGAAAAGCCCGTGAGCCGGTGAAAGGGTGTGATCTCGCGGGGAGGTGGGCGAACGGGTCCTGATCGACAGGATTCCCATTGAGTTGGAAGTCAGTTCTCCACGGATCTCTTTGAGAACCACCCCAACTTGTTTCACTAGCAACGAGAATGTCCGTATCTTGTTAAAGAGATACATCGATATATCTTCCCCGAAAGTAACATTGTTTCAAACCTTTCTAGTCAGAGACCACTAGCACCTTGAAAAGGCCAATCTAAAGAAAACACACCATAGTAGCTTCTCGTTACTAGTGACCTCCAACCTACTTCCGATGGCCTCCACCTACTACTAGCTTCTCGCTACTAGTCATCAAAAACATCCCCACCGTCGTTACCGTGGGTCGCTTCTCACTGTCGTGACCCTCCCAAGTTCCCGCCATGGCGAGGCTTCGGAGTGTTGGAGCTCCAAGAGGAGAGCCACTTGGACTCCTGGGCCGCTGCAACCGTTCCGCGCGCCATGGAGCTTCGAGCACAGGCGCGCCAGAGCTTCGAGCCAGATGCGGCCCGCGCGAGAAGCTTCGGTCACGCGTCGCATGGGAAGTCGTGATTGAGATTAGCTCGCATGATGCCTGTAGAATGGAATGACAACTGTGAGTGTAGGTTGAACGGAGATTAATGTTGCTTTTTTTTTAAGCTCGAGTCTGACTAATCAGTTTAGTTCAAAATTCAAGTATATAGACAATTAAAACAACTAATGTGTCCCGTTCCTGCTACTCAGTAGTGTTTGTCAGGTATGTCAGACTGTCACTTAGTTGTTGAGAAGTCGGTTGCGACCAGATTGATGGTTCTTCCTTGTCCACATACAGAGTGAACGGTCAGTTGATGTAAAAAATATCCAGGGATTCTTCAGCCTTGTAATGTCTTGGGGAGAAGTAGATCAAGTAGCATCAGAGCAACAGCAAAGCTAAAGAAAACCTATTTTGGACAGACTCATGTGAGGATTGTGGGTTCCACCACTGACCTCCTAACAGCTGCGAAACCAGTTTGGTGCAATGTCCCTTCTGCTAGCGTGGTTGAGGGAAACCCACCTCAGGGAATCACCTAACGCAGTTGACGTGAGTCACGTCGAAGGAACTCTGACAAAACTGATGGTCGCAGTTGACATGTCCATGTTTTGCTGGGAGCAGGCTGGCTAGCTGCATCCCCCTTGTGGTTTCTACCAGCTACACAGCCTCCACAGGAGCTTTCGAGCATCGCTTGGAGCTTTGCGAACTTACGACCTCAGCAGGATCAGCTGGTCGAAGCTGTCGCTCGGCGGAGCGATCAGCCCGACGGCAGCGTGGGGGAGAGGATCTATGCGGCCTCCGTGGTAGAGCCAGAGCAGATGAGGATTGTGCGGAGGACATTTGGGTGTATGATCATAGGGAGACCTCCTGAAAAGAAGGAAAGCGGCCTCCAACCTACTAGCAATGGCCTCCAACCTACTAGCTTGTAGCTCATACCTGGAAACCCGCTGTCTCAACCAGAGACAAGAATTACTGGATGGAACTCCCATGTAAACCAGCCACTTTCTATATATACAAGATCTCGAGCTGGAGCCATATTGTTTGGGTTTTCAGGTATCAATCATGCACAGTGTTTATGGATTGCTTCGCGCCCTTGATGGCGCCGCATGTGACGACGATGCGACGGTACCACAGCGACCCGGCACCAGAGTGCCTGGCACCAGAAACCGACTGGCTTTGGTTTGGCCTCCAACCCTTCAACCGATCTGATGCACCATTTTGGGCGACGATGAAGACGTGGGGCTCCAAATTTCGGGCAGCGAAGATGGAGATTTTGAGGTCGGGTCTCCTAACTCCAAAACATGTGGTGTTCAATGTTGTTCAGTTGTTCTCCAGTGAATGGACTTCCGCGTTTGGATGTAGTGGTTTTCCAGGTGAAGAAGTCTTGATTCCAGTCAAAAGCAGCTAACTGTCTCTTCCCCGTCGGCATGGCCACTTCGGGAATTGGTCGATCAGTCAACTGCACATCGCGAAAGCGACAGCAAGCCTCATGACACCTCAATGACTCTTGCATGTGGCAACATGCGGCGGCCTTGGTCAATTAGCAGAAGAATCGTCATCTCAGGATATATCCCCGACCATCCATGTATGGAGTGTTTACCTCCTACATCCTCCTATACATTAATTGACCCCTAAAGCCACCCCAGTGCAGGTCAATATGTCAGTCTAAGTCTGTTTATTGTTTTAGGACGTTTTGCTCAGTTGTGGTAGAAAGCCAGTGACCAGCACCCATTCCAACGCTCCCACCTTGTCTTCTTCTTTGGGCGGGTGACCCGTGACGAACACACGTGACGTCCGTGTCACGTGACGGACGTCGCTGTGCCTGACGCTCCACCCCAGATCTCTGGCGCTTGCCTGGCGCGGATGAAGCAGATGGACGCGCAGGGCACTTGCAACGTTGCCAGCTGGCGGGCAACATGTGGGTTTCGCCCGCCCTGGGGTTTGCGCATTCGGGTGATAAAACCCTTGTGGGTTTCGCACGGGTTAGCCGTTTTTCCCAGGAGGATTGTCAAAGAACCACTGGCACTCAGTGGTACTTGGAGGTTCCTTCAAGGGATCTTTTGGAGTCCCTGCAAATTGGTAAATCCATCTTGCTCGTAAAGGTTGGTGTGACTTCGCGTCTGCGTGTGTGGGTTGATGTTATTCCACCAAGACTGTCGGTCTCTCGTTTGTCACAATGCTAGATGGAAATGGCTGCCCGAAACCTGTGGTCTCGTTGTTCTGTCATCTCAACCTCCATTTACAACACGAGTATTCGTTCACCCAAGGAAATGATGTAGGCAACAAGCCAACATGGGAAGATGACATAAGATGACCGCAATCACTTAACCATAATTAACCCACAAGGACATCATGCACAGTCTATGGGGATGGGATCAAGGTTTTCGGGTGTTCACCCCAAAAACACACCCTGAAACAATCATGGGGTCCGTGGAGAACACATGACCCCAAAACGGAGCACAGCCTTTTCCGAATACCCAACAGGTGGATTTCACTTCACTTCCATGGAACGTGTTCCAAAAGGAGTGTAGCAGGAGTTCCGTGTGATACCCCCCAACGCAGAGGCTTTTTGGGTTCCTCAAAACGCTCCTAGGTCCACGCCCCGAAAGGGAACTGCTTGGATTTGTAGGGTGTGTGGCCAGTAAACCAGTAGAGCCGTTGGCAAGAGACGCTGGGCCTCGTTTTGGGAAAGACCTGCATCTGCCACCAGGCCCATCATCATACACTGGGCCCAGGGTGTCTGGGATATACCCGGTTGCATCTCGTTACTTCCCTCATCCCAGAAGCATTGGAACTTTACGGACCATCCAATTCCAGATCCTCTGACGCCCTGCTACGAAACAGCTCTCCAACAATGACATGATCCTGGATATGACACCACAGGATCATCCTGAATCATGATTGATGTCTTTCTCCAAACACCCTTGGGAAGTCATGTTCTATGAAAGCAAGCCACGGAAGGAGACACATCCTACAGTTGATTGAACATTGTAAAGCAAGTTGTTGAAGCAAAGTCACTCTCCTTTACGCCCATAGCAGCCCAGTCACCCTCCAACCACTCTCAACATCTCTCAACCCCCCTGAGGCATGGGCTTTTGCCACGTTTTCACCTCCAAACGCGCCGCTGCTCTACGCCTTGGCCGAGCGCGTGGGCGAAGCACCGAAGCTCAATGCGCTGGACGCTCGGCGGCGCTGGACCCGGGCGAAGCACCGCAGCACGAGTCGGGCGCTCGACGAGTCCGGTGAAGCAGAGCCCAGACACGACCAGTCTGGGACTGCCATGTCGGACTGCCGATCAATTGACCACCAGTCAACCACTCACCCCTGGCCGTTTCTCGGCAGTCCGACATGGCAGTCTTAGACTGGTCGTGTCTGGGGAGTGGTAACTGCTCGTTCTCTTGACAGCCGCCAACCACTCATTGACATGGGGCGCTGCTTTTTCTGCGTCAATTGACGCATGTCCTACTTGAATCCGAACTCCGCTCCGATCCGGACCGTGGTACGCCGTAGGAAAACGCATCCCGATTAGGATGACCCCCATATGAAAATGTGATTCAATCCAAATGAGGGAGGTTATGAATCAAGAGTCTTCATCTTTTGGGCTTCATCCATGTTGCGTCCCAAAAGCACTTCTCGCTGACTGTAGACTTGGAGCTTGCCTTCTGGGGGTCGGTGACCACAGGTTCCACTGTTTGAGGTGCCTGTGCCTTACCAGGAGGATACAGATGTGTGAGTGTTGCACTTTTGATTGTAAGAACGAAATACCGCAGTCATAGACCCAAACACCCAAATTCTTGGTGCTTTTAAATCTAAGACGTGACCAGGTCGTCCCTTCTCACTTGGTCGACATTGCTTGACACAAGGACCTCACGAACCTTGCCTGGTGCTTTGGCGTCTTAGACTTGCCCAAGGAGCACCAGGGCTGGACGTCGATCTCAGGCGATCTGTGTCGACAGTCGTGAAAAACGTTCCCGGCGTGTTTTGTAGTCGCGGCGTTTGTCGCGTAAAGTCGCGTGGTGAGTTCCTTCTTCACGGTTCTTTTGAAAATGTCGGGAATCCACGGTAATACCTTCTCAGGTTTGGTACGACTGGACCCTCCAAGCTATTCCAAACATCAAAGAGTCGAGCTGTGCTCACTTTCTTTGAGAGCATGTGGATCCATAGGGACTGGTGAAAGACCCAGAAAATACACAGAGTACAATACCTAGGGTGTGTCCCATGACCATCATTACCAGCAACAGTTTCAGATTATCACTCTTTGCATCATCATCATCATCATCCGCTGGGCCCAGGGTGTTTGGGATATGCGTTCTGCGTATACCAAACTGTTTGTGGAGTCTGTGACGGAGCCATGGCTTCGGACCTCTTGGAACGGGAAAAGAAAAGTTTGAACCCAGGCGCAACCCGGGCGCAGTGGACATGGGAGTAACTTTCCCAGACGCTCCATACTCCATGTATGGCATATTCACATACATTGGGGTGGTTTGGGGGATCAATGTAGGCAGTCCCATGAAGTGTCTGGGTTTGAATCTTGAGTAGAATTCGTCTAACTTTCAGCCATCTGACGGAGAGTGACGTGAATCGTTGAAATTGAAATTCCGAAAACTGATGGACAAGGTGACTTCAACAAGAATGTAGACGGTTAATTCATTGCCCCCGCCCCCATTTGGATTGCACTCCCAATGGGGTGGCTACTCAACAGTCTACAGCCTACATGATGTGGATCTGTGCGATTCCGAGACGTTGGCCGTTGGCCTGAAGCAAAAAGCATCCGATGGGGTGAGGACTCTCATGAAATCGTGTCAGAATTTGATGTCATTTGTCTTGAAGACGTTGGCCTTACTTCCAAGATCGAATGACGTGATGTGGGGGTGGGTCAACACCTGGAGCCCGACCAGTCCCCCATGTAGCGAACGACCTCACACCATGTAGGTCAACCCACCACAAGGTGAAGGTCTGTGGGAAGCGTCTGACACGTGCGCAAGTGATGTCGGTAGGTCAACCCAGGTATCCTGGTCTTGACCCACAGCCATGTACATTGGATGGCAAGACAAATGGGAGAATCACAGTCAATGTTCGGCAGGTATTGAGGTTTGGTCGGTTTGGTGTCTTTCGTTTGCAGGTGCTGCAGAGGATTTGATCAACACCTTCACCCAGCAGCTTGGACCACCAGGGCCGAAAGTAGGACGCGGACCGCCCCCATCGGTGGGTCGATTTCGTAGGTACGATGGCGACGCTATTTCGAACCGTGGGAAGATCGGTTGTTACAAACATCTCGTGGAGCATCAGTTGCTTGATTTCTGGCGGTTTTCCGCAGTTGAGGTCCTTAGCTCGAACCGCTGGGAAGGGCAACATCGACCGCCCCGCGGCCCAAAGCGAGAAGGGGAGCTGAAGGAGTAGCGAGAAAGGAGGAGCCGAGGGGTGAACCTGGATGTGGTGGTGGTGGACCCTTGGGAGTTCGAAGGAGATCATACGGGATTTAAGAGGGGATCAGGGTGTAGTGAGAGGAAGAACGAAGGTCAATGTTTTATAAGTGTTTATATTCATGTGTTACCATTGCATGTGCGCCTTTAATGTTACAGGGGCAGTCAAGCGGGGGTGCGTTTCGGGCATGAAATCAGTGGTTGGTGAGAAGAACCAAAAAGGTAAGTATATACTGTGTATGTATAAATACTTAGTGGGTTTCCAGGTCATTGTGATATTCTTCATTGGAACTCCAAAACAATAAATATATAATATATATTATATATTGTTATTATGATGAAAACATTTATAACCTATTCTACATTGCTTGACAACCTGTCAGTATCCGTTCCAGTGAAACAAACAATAGATCCACAGTAGGAACTTGGAACCATATTCTTTTGGCTGGAACAGTTTACTATACAAAAATTAGCCATAAGTCGTAGACAGTTGTTCAAGGACGAAATACTCTTCAGATACTGGAAAAAGTCAAACTGACTGAGACAGGGCTGCATGGACAACTCAGAAAGCAAACGAATTGCATCACCAGTTTTAGCCGCCTCTCACAAAAAAATGACACTGTGCGTGCGGTTCAATCATTTGGCTCAACATCTTTCCACAAGCGAAGTTGGGGAAAGATCACCGAAACAACAGAACCTTGGGGCCGCTCAAACGGTGCTCACTGAAACAAAAAATCAAACGGTGCTCACCGATCATGCGAACCACGGCCATTTTGTCTCAACGATTTTGGGACCGGACCCGCGGAGCGATCTGCCCAGGTCAGTTCATGCGATCCCTGCGCGATGAGATGCTTTCGGTGGTCCATGCATTTGCCAATTTCAGCAACTGGGCTGAAGGACCTTTGGGTGGCTGGCGGAAGCCGAAAAGAGCACCCTCAAGAGAACTGCTTCGAGGGATCTGTCGTCGGAATACAACTATAGGGTAGATGGCCCAGGGTCTGGTGTTGAGTCATCATGTCCTTTACCATAGATCCTTGGGTCCAAAGGCTTCGCTGCTTTTTGTTTTCCCAAACCCCAAAAACACCCCACAGTCTGGCGCTGCCTCGAGCTCCACCTGAGCAGCGAGGTCATTTGACCGACGCCGTGTACCGCGCGGCGCTGCGGAGCCTCACCACGGCGGCCCAGGCAGCTGGGCGGGTGAAAGGACGAAGGTGTTGAAAGATGTTGTGTTGGCGGAAAGATGTTGTTTCTTCACCATTACTATACTACGTACTTGTAGTAACAAGTTTTTATATAACTTGGAACATGGTTCGAACTCTTTTGAGCAGCTTTTGGCCGCCTTTGGCCTATATCTTTGCTGTTCCGGCGATGTGTCTGGCTGCGGTTCTTGCAGCGGGTGTGTTTGGAAGGTACACTATGGTACATCACTTGACGCAGGAGGACCTTGAGGGACTTCATCTCGGCTAGCACTTGTGGCAGATTGCTCTTGTTTGCTACCATCAACTCAGATCTGAGTGGCAAAACACTATTATGTGTTTGCGACACACCTCTTTCTCGTTCCAGGCAAGACCTACCTGTGATCCTATCCATTAACATGTGTTTTTAATTCTGCAAAGTGCACAAAAAACACTGCCAACCTACATAGTGCCCCGCCTTGTAAAGGAAACTTGCCCCCCCCATGTTTGCACAAGAATGCCAAATGAGAAAACGCTCTAGGTTTCGGAATCACAACTAGGACAACGCATAGGACAACAAATGAACAAGAGGAATCCTAATCCTTATTATAAGACAACTGCTACAATGACATGATGGAGTCCCACAGACATGCGCACGACCAAACATGCACATTGGATATCATGTCATCCACGAATATAACAAAGCAGGGCATCCACGATATAAAATGCCGAATCACCAAAACTGAGACTGAGAGACAAAAATAAACAAAGCTGCGCGTGATTTGCAAGAGACTCTTCCTGAAACGGACCAAACTCAAAATACAATACAAAACTGATAAAGCTTACTAAAAATATCATGCCTGGGGAAAGGAAGTCATTATGTTAGATAAATTGATGTTGTAAAACAGATGAGGAACCCGACGCCAAAAGGCCTTTCTCGCCCATGGGCAGAACTTTTAAACCAGGGCGAAGCGACCCCTGGTCCGACAGCCAGGTTCTTGAAGGCGACACTGCAGGTGGGAGTTGAGAGTTCTTTTTCTTTCAAGGAGTCAAGGAGAAGTCCAAGCATGGGAGAGGTAGGGTGAGGTAGATGCCTTCCAGGAAAAGGGGATAACCTGTAAAACCTTTCTTGGGGACGAAAAGGGGACACCCCCAAAAAAAGTCCAACAGGTTCCAAGTACAGTTCACCTCTATTTTCTAGGGATCCCTGCCTCAAACCAAATGCCTTCCTTCTGCACCGCGCCGTGTCCGACGCTCCAAACGGACCTCAACGCCCGTGCAGGGCCCGGACCGGACTTCAACGATCGTCGCCCGGACTTCTTCGCGAACAAAAGAAGTGACGAGAACCGGCGCTCTCGATCGGACCGGAGACACCGAATGGGAGACTAGTAGAACTAGTATGAACTGGTTCTGCTGAAGGCTTCTCTTCGGTCATATTTGGCATGGTGCTTGTGAGCAGAGGGATCCTTCACGTGGGGCCGTGGCGATTTTCGAGCTGGACATTCTGTAGGCAAGCCGCTGGTCATCGAAGCACTCAGAAGCGGCCCCTCGATCTTGTTGCAACAAGGCCTTCGTGGGGGTCCTGGGGGGTGCAGATCCGCAATCTGAGTGGTGAGGTCTGAGTGAAAGCATCTCGTGATGATGGGAGGTTGTAACAAGACCATCACCAGGTGTGCGTACGTCACGTACGGTACGTACGTTGGAGGTCACAGCAGGAAAAGGCAGCTAAAAAGCGGTTTCCGGACAGCACAGCAAATTGAACATAATTAAACGGCAAGCAACAGGGGAACTCTGTCTATCTTTGCAAATCGTTCCCCACAAAAGGGGGGCCATGACGGCCAGTGGCAACTCCACTATCAGCAAGTGGATCTCAAAGTTTAATTACCATACCCTAAGGATCCTTGGACCCTCCACGGAAGGGGTCGCATGCCCTTTGCAACAGGGTTTGTACCCTCAAAACCCGTGTTTTTTTAAGGGTTCAGATCCTTGGGGTATGTTCATTTACTTGGACCTTGAAGGCGTCATTGGATCTTCATATGGCCACTTCACGTTTTATGAGACAAGGGGGCATGGGGCAACCAGCAACCATTCCTGTTGGAAGCCCCTCAATGTGTGGAGTTGTCGGGGTTTTGGGTGCGTGAAATCGGGTGAAATCGCGCACATGCTCGGACTTCTTCGGCGATGCGCGTTCGACATCCATAAAATCAATTACGCACATGTGCTGAAACATAATGAATCATCAAACGTGGGACAATTTTATGGACCACTTTGGCAGGACAATTCTAATAAAGCACTCTTGGGACTGTGGGATGGAAAGCCGGAAAGCCAGGGTTAAGTTGCTTTGGAATGGTCAAACTAGACGGGGAAACTCAACACTGTTAATTTAACTATCTCACGTTTCTGTTTGATAATTTGATCACAATGCAGTTCGCCAAACCTCAGTCATGTCACCAGGACACTCGTCACCTTTCAGCAGCTCAAGTGCCCAGCTGCTCAATCCCCTCCTGGCGAATCCGTTTTCGTCGCTGCAATCTTCTGGTTTTGCAGTTTTTGGGTGGATTCTTACTGTTTCAAACTGGGTCAATCCCCTGAAACTACTTTTTTGATCCCAGTTCCAAGATAAGCTGGCACCACATCCATCGCCAGCTCCACCACTCCACGCATTTGCTCGGTGTCTTCACTGGTGGAAGGTGACCTCTACGTGCTCCAGAAGCCCCCGGGCTGGAACGTCTCCGTGGGCTACGACGAGATCGACACGCCCAAGGCGCGTCCTTCCGCGTCCGCGTCGCTGTCACGGCCGAGCTTTCGTCCCGTACTTGTAGGGACGCATTGCTTCACGACATGTGTATACATGTGTGTTTTTGTTAGTCAAAAAAACAATATGTTAAAAAACAAAAAATACATAAGTAAAATAAATAGGTAAATAAGAGTTTGCCATTGTCTTGTCTTTTTGCCAAGATGTCTTTGAATGAAAAAGATAGGGTCCTGTTGGATGTTTCGAGCAATGGTAGTACCGTTGCTTGCCGAAAGTTCGCGCCCTCCAGTCAACCGTTTGTTTTAATCGTTTGGCTAGGTGATCTGAGTGACTCGGAATTTCTTTACTTTGGTGGTGCCAAAAATTGGACGTTTCCTGGACTTCTAGGGATCGTGTTGTGACGCTGTTTGTGGGATGATTGTATTGCTGCATGGAATGAATGGATGCCAAAGCGCCTGTTCAATGCTTTTTAGAATTGTTTTTGTGTTTTCTTGATTTGCAAGAATCCTCTCAGTGATACAGATCTCTTTCTAGTTTTTCAGATCCACCAAGTTGTTTTCAGCAAGCCACTTCGACAAGACAGTGGAAGGAGTAAGGAAAAGCATCCAAGCGGAATGTTGACTTGGAAGAGGCCTCGCCCAAAGACTGGCGTTTGCTCGCAGCTAGGTAGCGACATTTACCAGAGGACAACATGTGCAAGTGGCTCAGACGGTTCAATGGTGTACTGTGGATGCTGTGGGTGTGTCTCCAGGGATGCGGACATCTGGATATGTGTTCTCTAGACTCATCTAATACTTGCACCCACTCAAGATCCTAGCTAAAAAAAGAGGTTTAAGCATCCTCATCCCATCCTGCTGTTCGCGGTGAGTTCGTTCGAGATATTTCATGCCACTGAGGAAATGATGGCTCTTGTTGTATATGTTTGAGGTTTCGTTTCCAAAGGGACACCAAGGATCCAAAGTTGAACTTCACGGCACAGAAAGGAACGCTCAGCCGAATGTGCTGACTCAGCGTGTAAACATTGATCTTCAGCATTGCTTGGAACCTATAGCCTATGGGGAGATACAACAAAGCAAACCATTCTGATGTAACGAGAAAGACTCCAATGGATGCTTTAGTAGGGATCGCAACCATCCAGTAAAAGGATTGCCTTTCTGCCCGGTGAACTGGCCCTCGTCACTTTGAGGAAGTTGTTTTCTCCACTTTCGCCACTTTCTCTCTTACTAGTAGTAACAAGAAGCCAGTAGTAACAAGTGCCACGCTAGTAGTAACAAGTGCCTTACTAGTAGTAACTAAGAAGCTATTAGAATTTGATTTAATTTTAAGTTTAATTCTAATAGCTTCTTGTTACTACTAGTAAGGCACCTGTTACTACTAGCGTGGCACTTGTTCCTAGTAGTAACAAGAAGCTAGTAGTAACAAGAAGCTACGAACGGAACAAGTGCTCCATGTCACCCACAGTTCACCCCAGGATTGGCTCCTGCGCTCTGCGAGCGACCTGCCGGTGGTACAGGATGCAGCGGCGCAGCACGGTATTCTGCACCGTGCCACGGTGGACCAAACCGTGCGTGATGCTTGATGCACCGGCCCGACGAAAAGGAGGCAAAGAAGAGAGCTTTTAGGTGTGGTTTCCCTCCTAACATCAGGGAAGTGAGAGGTACTAAGATGCTAGCCCTTCTAAGAGTCAGGATAGAAGCCGACTTGGGTTCGTTCCTTCCAAATCAACTCTCAGTTCGTAGAAACTTTCGTACAGCACAAGGTCTGTGTACGACATGATACCCTAAATAGATGCTAATAGATGTTCTACTCGGTCAAGACAAAAACACACTTTAATAAGTAAGAATCCTTGGGCCCTCCATAAAAACGGTCCGGACCCTCAAAACCCTTCCCATTTGTTCCAGCTTGGATTCTCAGGGTAGAAACCAATGAGCCAAGCACACCCAACACGCCTCGTTCACCCAGCCGCCGGAGCCTCCCAGACCTTTTCGAGACTTGAACGATTGGCATGGCATCGCTGTTCTGCACGCATTGCACGCAGAGGTCTGGATGTGAACACCTCAGGAGTGCTACTCTGTTCAAAGACCTACCTAGGCGCTTGCGGGCGCTTGGGCTGTTTTTGGTTTTTCGGAGTTGTGCTTGGCAACTCAGTGCTTGGAAATATGGGTTCGGGAGGTTTAACAGAGGGGTTCTACCAAAGTTGTATCTTCAAGATTGGGCGTGTTCCCTCTAAGCTCGCTCTGAAGATTTCTTGCAGTGTTTTCAATAATTTGGTGAGGAGGACCTGCACTGTTAACACCTGTCAAGGGCGCATAGGATGCGGACCTCACCTCTTCCGAGCGGCTTTGGTTTGAGGACCTCTCTTGCCAAGCTGGGCGAAGCTCGGGCAAGAGGGACATCTCCAGAGGAAGGTTCCCCCTCCATTATAGAAGTAGGAGTTGAGTGGATCAGCATTCTCCAAACTGCATAGACCATTATATAACTTTCTTAACTGTTGTTTTGGTGGAGCTAGACTGTTCAGTTGAGAGATACATGCAGAGGATCCCTGGCATTCCCAAATAACATTTAAAAAAACATACACATAAAGAAGAACTAACAAGCCTTTATGAGATACTAGGACATTCTTGACCGCTTTTTGCCTGCACTCCTACTCCCCATGATGTCAACACCATGTGAGAGGACATCCCCAACACTGGAGAGGCTACTTCTTGGCACAGCTGCAGTTCGTGGCGCGCAAGGTCCAGAAGTATTACGATGCTCGGCCAAGCATGGTTTGCGGCCACCCTTGGTTCTACGATTCGTAGGGTGCAAGGACGAGATTGCAAGGATCGTAGGGGGGGAGAGCCAAGGTGGATGTTTTCCGCTCCAAGGGAAACACTCAAGGTTGACAGCTGAGCCAGAGTGACGTTTGTCCTATTGACTCCATTGCCTCTCCTCTCGATGTGCAGTGGACCCAGGTGTGCTTGTGCACCAGACACCTGTCGGCACCTCGGATGTTGCAGCACCCGCTGCTGGAGGGCGAGGGTGATGCGCACGTGACCAGCATCAGCAAGAGAGGCACCCCGGCCATACCCGGCGGAGGAGTGACTGCACCGGTCGGTGAGTTGCACGTGTTCCGTTTAAATGGAATGGATGAAGGCACAAGTGCTGTTTATCAGAACATGCTTTGGAGAAAGGCCTGTATGCTGTATACACATCCTTTGGCTAACTTTGCTTTTGGCAATGTTCACATCGGTTGTCATGGATAGCAAAGAATTGGTTCCTTCCGTCCACCTGGCTTTGCTAGGTGTGATGTGCATTTTCCCCATGGATGAATCTTCTGGCAAACATTTTTCGTGGTTGTTCAAATTCAGCGAAATGCATGGTGCATCTTCCCAATTCTTTGAAATGTGTTTCAAGGAGATTGTCGATGGTTGTGGGCCTCAACAAAATAAAAAAAATAAATTCTTGGAACCACCATATTCCCAGGCATTGTTGCTCCTGTAAAGACCAACCACCACGCGTGTCGACCTCGCCCAACCCTCGCGTCCAACCTCGCCTCCGCAGTCACGTCCAGGTCGCTTGAGCCGCACGGAGCTTCTCTCGGCGGTGCACTTGTGGCATCCACAATTGGGACCTGTGAGCCTCGTCCAGGCCGGTGTGGAGGTCGGGGGCTCTTTCTTGTCCAGTTCGGTGATCCTCGTTGAGTGAGGAGTGGCATAGACCAAAAGACATTAGGGCGGATTAGGCTATGAATAGTTATGAATTTCAATGTGTTTTTGGTCTTTGTGAGAGTTGTCTTGCTTAACTTGGTTGAGATTTGCCTGTTCTGATGCTGGGAGGTGGGAAGGGTCAGCTCAACATCGTTGTTTCTTGCTCGGATCAGCTTTGCAAAACATTTTGGGAAGGATGGTTTCGTTGCCACAGAAGGGTCTAGGTTGCAATTTGGTCAATGGCGCTCTCTTTGTGGCGAAGTGAGTTCAGGAACCCAAACAGCAATCCATTTTGCAACTAGTCGCCATGATTAGTACACCTGCATACTACAGTGTCTCCGTACCTGGAACTACCGGCGGCACTTCTCTAAGGATACATGACTTGTGACCTTCGCCACGAACGAGTTCCCCATTGCTTTAACTTGTAACTAAACCCACTCCCTAAAATCATAACGGAACTGGCCCCCCTGGAAGACCTGGTTGTCCAAGACTCCGAGACTTTAAGTTTGGACATCCTTTTCGATATGTTTCCGACTGAAGAGGACTGACCAACCCTTTGAAGATCATCCCAGATATACCCAGAAAAATTCATGTTCATATTGTGTGCGTCCCAGTCCTTTCACAGAGTCCCTCAAGTCTGTGTCTTCTTTCCGGGAACCACCCTTTTTGCCAGTCCCTCTCTTGAGACCCCACTGGACCTCCACTGGACCTGTCAGCGTTTTCCAACGCTGAATTCCAACACGTTTTCCAGATTGGTGGTCTTTCGCACCCCCAAAAGACTCAAAAGGACACAGTTTTACTCCGCAAGGTTCACAAGTTTGCGCACCCCCACCTTCCGTGCTTCTCGCCGCGTGCAGATCTTGCTGCACACGGGCCGGCGGCATCAGATCCGCGCGCACTTGGCCTACGAAGGACATCCCTTGGTCGGTGCCCTGTCCATCGGAGGAGGCCGCGAGTTTCGCTCCCGCTGGAGATCGGTGTGGATCGCTTTCTCTTTCGTGTCGAGCTGACGGTACACTGGGTGGATCCCATGGATCTTCACGGGTTGTTGGTTTATTCGAGTGAGGGTTGAGCATGTGTTGATGGTGTATTCTATGCGTTTGTTCGTGTCGAGGGACGTAGCTGTGGAAGTTCTTTGTTCATGGTATCGATGACTGATGCCACTGTCAAGAAGCTCGATCCAAGGGCTGCACAAAAATCGACAAGCCATGGACCTGATGTGCCGAGAACAAATTGCTTTGGATCTTCTCTTCAAGAGTCCATTTCTTGAGCCAAATGAATTTCCCAGTCCCGATTTCTGTTTCTTCCACCATCTGGCCAGCAAAAGCAGCGGTTATAAAGGAAAACAAAAGACACCGTCAGGTATGTGAAGATCGGATTCTTCATTCATTTGGAATCCGCATTCTCCCCGGTTACTCTCCAAAATCGCCCCACCCTCCGGGGACGTTGAAGACGTTCCACGTGTATGACGACCTCTCAGGTGATGCCACCTACGGTGGTCCAGAGGGCCTTGATTGGTGTCCCCGGACCTTCCTCCATGCCTCCAGGCGAGGAAGCTTTACTTGGAGGACTTGCTGACTTGAAAACAAGAACCTGGGGACAGCGATTCAGCAGTGAAAAAACACCAGATCTTGTTCCTTTTTTCTCCTTAAACACAATTTGAACACAGACTCAAGCTGTTTGAGTTTGTAGGTTTGAAGAGATTGTTGACTTGAAGAGAGTCTGAAGTTGCCAAAGTTGATGATGTGGTGTGTATCGTGATTGAACAAAAGAATGACATACTAACATATATGGCTGTGAGTCAATGCTTTCACCATCTTCATAGTGTGTCCTTGGTGATGGTGGTTTGTCTTCCAAACATGCATCATAGCCAATAAGCTACAACCATCCCACATACCCATCCTACCTAATGAGCTACTACCCTTTTCTTGAGTAGCCATCATTGCCATGACGTGACCAACTCACATTCCGCCCTGAAGTATATGATTGTTGCATGGAGATGTTCTGTCTTCATGGACAGTTTGATATTCTGACTCTGCCATCATAGTTGATAGAAAAGTACATTTGCACTAAAAATGTCTTGGAAACTGTGCCACGATCTCTTTGGGGACCACAAAAGGATCGGTTCAAAAGACTGATCACCCATGCAGATCACCCGTGATCACCCACCTGGTTCTCTTGGCCGTCTGCAGGCTGATTCTTGACGCGGAGTTGGCCGGTGGACGGTTGGACGCCAGCTGCCCGTTGCCGGAGGACCTGAAGGCGGAGGGGAATGGTCAGAGGTTGGAAGTGAGTCAAAACCAAACAGCTTGTTGGCGTCAATATTCTAATAGGCCTCATTTGCCCGCAAGTTGCAAATCGAGTATACTATCATATGTATTACATAGCTCAATATTACATTGTAATACATTGTATGTATATATATACCACATAATATATTATGTGGTATATACCGTGGTGCTCTCAGCAATCCTTCCTTTCAGTCCTTGTTGGGGTCTGTGACAGAGGGCCACTCATCGTTGGTATCGATTTCAGCTAAACAGGCTTTGCCTGTTGGAGTTTTGCACATAAATCGCCTGTTGCAGAGATGAGTGTACAGAGTCAAGGATGTGCGCCATTGTATGAACTACCACCGAACTACCGACTCTGGCGCTGGGTGTTCTTGAGACTTCAACGTACCCTGAAACGAAGCGAAGTGGTTACAGGTGCTTTTTGGCGGCAACGTGTCTGTCAATGGAGAGTCTTTTCTTCAAGACTTGAAGTAGCCTGTGAATGCCTGTGACAGATCCAGAAGACTCCGAAACCTTGAACCATCCTGAAACGAAGCCGGGAGGTTACGACAGAAGAGCAGGATTGAACACCCAGCCGTACGAAGAGGACATGTAGCTGTTTCTCTCGCAAAACTGCTGCGATGGGACGATCGATGGGACGATCCGGTTTTGCGAACTTCACTCCGTGTTCGACTCAGTTCTTTCGTCGAACTCTTGGGTCTTAGGTCATATGTGACTGGAAGTGGAGGTCGGTGTCCATATGTGTCCATCTAAGACGAAGGAGATCGAATCACATGATGTGTTGCTTTTCGTGTGATTCTTCGGATCCCTTGACCTGAGAAGTTGGGGCCCAACCGGCGCCTTCAGGCGGCCCTCAAAGGGCTCCAGGCAGTGGACCCCCGAGCGCGAGCGGCGCAGTTGTCTGCTGCGCAGCTTTCTGCGGCGCAGACTGGCGCGGCGAGGACCAAAAAAGACCACCGACCGGAAAGGAGTCCAAAACTCCTCATGTGGGCATGGTTTTCTCTGTCAGCCAGGAAGGTGCTATCTCTTGGAGGAAATGCCCTAAACAAAATCATACAAAACCCATTGGCCACTAACCAGCACTTCCCCAAATCGACTGGCCAAGTCACTGAGAGGAACAGGCTTCGCCTTCCAAGGAGATCATGTTCCTTGACCCTGTCGACCCTCCGAGCACTCCCCGGTGATGGGCGTCCACGACCCGTCTGACGGAGCCTTCGCGTCGCGTCTGCAGAAAACATCGGCGCCGAGGTCCTTCGTTTGCTTCGCTTGAAGCTCTACAAGCTGAGGTGGGGATGGGTGGCAGTGCCAAGTGGATCAAAAAGACTGGCTCTTCAAACGGGCCAGCTTGCTATGTTTGGTTGAATTACTTTTTGCTTTGGGTTTATTCGCATCGTGGCAGAGGGACTGTGGTGAAAGAAGGCGAGAAAGATTGCTGGGCTCTCCGCTCGCCTTTTGTCGCTTGTCTTCGAAGCGCCAGTTGTGAGGTGCAGCGCCTGCGAGCAGAGTTGAAGGTCTGGCAAAGTACCGAAGGAGCATTGGCGCGAAGCGTTTGTTGAAGTTCTGATTCGAGTGTCTTTAAATTCACGCCCTTCCGAATCGGATGGATTTGTGTCTTTTCCCAGTTCCAGCCGTGAATCCACTGGTGAGTTGCTGTTATTTCCCAGTTCCGATGAAAAAGCACCACACAAGTCGGGTCCTTTATCACCCCCTTTTTGTAGGTTCATTTTTCTTCCAATCACTGCCCCAAAACCGTGCTGGCACACGTCAACGTTGTTGGATCCTCCGCCCAGTGCGCAGGAGGGTCGCCACTGGTGAAGCCGGCTGTGGTTGTGGTCGCAACTCGCAGTCGCCGCAACTCGCAGCCGTTGAATGCTGCCACCGGAGGTTGGTGTTTTTTTCCAATTCGTAGTTGGTATACTTTCAGAAGTATTTGGGTGACTTTGCTGGTCATTAGCAGCACGTGTTGTTGCAGGGTTTGTTCCGCTTTCCTGCAAAGCTGCCCCTGGGTCTTCAAGCATCTCAAGTTGACACACCAGGCTCGAGAAGGAATTCCAAAAGATGTGCCTCAAAACCAGGGCAAACAGGACCAAGCGTACCACTGCCAATAGGACGATCCCAGAGGCTCTAATATCGCTCTTGGTCCTTCAGAACTGGAGGTCCCATACCCCAGACCATGTCATAAAGGGTCCAATTCCTCTATATGAGGGTCCAGGAGCACCTCAAATAACCAACCACTTGATTGAAGACGTGTCGCGGTCCACTCCGGGTTCGTTGGATTCGTTCAATGGTTTAATGGATGTTGCGCAACTGCATCTATAAGCTATTTGTCCGCAGCATAGTTCTATTCAAGGTGGATCAACCAGCAAAAGCATCATCACGGAGCAAGAACCCTCTATTGCAGGATTTGTTTGAAGGTTTTCTGCCGGATTTGATGAAGGCTCAACCCAGTGGAACTGCTGTGCAACGACGTGCCAGGCAGCGCAAAGCCACTGGAAGGCCGGGGGGGTCTCTTGACGGAGTTGGAAGGCCTTCGCAAGCTATGTGATGCTGATCTCAAGTTGAATAGCGGCAAAGAGGGCACAGGATCTCCTGATTCCCCTCCTTCGTTCTCCATTGGCCCACCCACTTGGTTTACCCCACAGCTCGCCCCATCCCATGGACCACGCCGAAGCAAGTTCTCCATCGGCCCAGCCCTCAACCGAGTTGAGTGGCTCGAAGCGCTTACCTACCATCGTCGTTGGCATTTGATCATTTTGTTGGTTTACCTCCTGCCAAGTGTTTCCTTTGGCGGAAGAAGAGACCAAGCATCGAGGGTGTTCATCATGATCTTTAGGGTGCCTCTTCGACATCCATGATTCTCACAAGCATAGTTTACAGTCATGTAGAATTTAGAATAGTCGATGCCTTTAGTATTCTTTTTTGTTTGATGAGGTTCATCATTGGTACAGTGATGGTCACGTGAAAGGAGAGACTTGGCTGTTTGAACTGAGCCGGATTCCCCCGTGGAAGGTGTGTTCACCAAAAATCATCTCGAAGGAACAGTGTTTTTTTTGTTACTAGTAGCAAGGATAGGAGCCCCGTTCGTAGTGTGCTTGCTCCGTTCGTAGCGATGCCAGGAGCCCCGAACGTCGCGTCCGATCACTCCTAGTAGGTTATTTTTGGGGTTCCTCTCAATCTGACCTGTTGACATGTGTTGCGCAGCACGCGTTTGAACTTCGAAAAGAAAAGAAGGACGGAGCAAACAGACGGAAATGTCAAAAGCATCAGCCTCTATAGGGCGTGACCGGCTCAGAAAGCGTGACCGGCGTGACCTGAGCCGATCCTTTCTCTTTAGCCCGCTCCCCGCCTCCCTACTTAATTAAGTAGGTGCCTACTTAATTAAGGGAGGTACGGTAGCTAGGAGCTTAAGTAGCTACTAGTATGGACGCAGGATAGCTCACGCTTCTTCAAGGAAGCTTCCTTGAAGAAGCGCTGACACTAATGATTTGGTTTCTAGATGTTTGGGGAAACTTAAGCAATGTTACCTGAGCAAGCCAAACACAGCACCAGGCTGAGAGGGATGAGCTCTCTCGGAAGCTCAAAGAGCAGTTAGACAAGGCCGAAACGACCTGCGCAGCGCGGTTCTCCGTGGTTGATGCGGCATCACTGACGGGTGGAGTGGATGGATATGGATGAATACGGATGGCTGCCATGGCGGAAATACAGACCCTAGCTGGCCTTAAAGGACCCGAGTTTTTTCGCCGAGCCTCGATTTTGGAGCAACTCACGAACTTGTCCGTTTGTCCAAGTTGCACTGGAAGAGGTATGGAGAAATCCGCGACTTTGGGAGCATTCAGATCGCACAAGAAACACTCGGTGCGACGTCCACATGTTTCTTGCATGAGTTCTGCAGATTGTTCAGTGTTCGGCTTGCCACCCGGATATCCATCACGGTTCCAGTCATTTGCGGTCTGCTATCTGTTCGGCTCGCACCAGTTCTCGCTCAGTTCCCCCTATCTGGAGATCTCTACAAAAACCTGATCGACCCAAAGACCGAAGCGGGTCCGAAGCGGGTGAGAAACGCAGCGCGGCACCCGCGGAGTGCATCCCGTCCCATTCAACCCAGGAAGGACGGCCGGACGAGGCTCACCACTCTGCGTCCACCGGCATTCCCGTGTCATGCCGATGGTCGAAATAGCATCCTTAAAAAACATCCGATGGGAAGATTTTGTTGAGGGGGGGGACACCCCCCTGGTCATGAATCACCGGTCGTTTGGCTTTTCTGGAGCAGTCACGGAGGGGCGAAAGCCGGGGTGCTCTCCGAGGGTTGCCGTCGGGGTGCCCATTGTCACATCACATCCACTCACGTCGTCGGGGACGAGCCACCCCGAGCTCTGTGAGAGCGGTACCGTCCCCGGCATCGCTCTCCTCCACCGGTCGATGTGACTCTCCTGCACGCCCGGTGCCGGACACCAGCTCGGTAGACCTTTTGCTGGGCCAGGCGTCGGTTTTGGCCGAAGCCTCGCGGCAGGCAGAGCCAGAGGACGATCTACAGAACTGTGCGGAGATGTGATTTATAAGCTAGGCTACAGGTGATGATAGCATGTTTGTGGAAAAGAAAAGATAACAAAAACCAACACTTCATGGATATTCTTGTTCGAGCACTGTGTGGTTTTGGGATTGAGGTATGTTGGTCTCCTCTGGCCAGATTTCTGGTTCTAAGTGCCAAACACCGCTGTTTGGCGCCGCTGTTTTGCAGGAGGAGGTCCAACGGTTGGAAGATGAGGTCCAACGGCTGGGGGTGAATGAAGCGCTGGTCTTTCGGGGTTGGTCGGTGACAATGGACCGGTGGGCAAAACAATAGCACAGTCGATGGATCAAAACTACCAGGGCCTTCAAAGTTATTGGACACCCCTTAACAGCTAGGGGGCTATCAACAGACACCCCTTGGCTTGGAGGGTCCCAGTACTTGGGAACCTGGGGAGGGAAGACGGCTAGTTCTGATCCACCGCGTTGCTGCATGCTTCGTCCAGAAGTGTGAAAACTGGACACAGATGTGCTCCGGGCAGAAACACGCAGACAAATCACCCAAGGCTCCCGAGCCAAGTCATCACTCTGTGCATTCTGCACATGTAAAGTATTCTCATTAATCATTTCAATTAGGAAGGACGGAGTTTCCAATGGAATTTAATGTTGCCCACGTTCGAACAAATGGCAAGAAAAGACTGGACGTCGCCAGCCAAATCCTCTAAAGAAATCGATGCCTGAGCATATGCACTGATACCGCTTAGGCTATGCCGCTATGCTATGCTATGTTTATGTACGTCAAAGCCAGGAGAGTCGAGGCCGTAGATTCCAAAGGAATGCCCGAAGTTGTTTCTCGAGAAAGAGTGCTCAAAGCCAAAGGGCAAGGTAGCTGGCAGCTGCAAAAAAGAAGCAAAGCACATCGCCAGCAAAAAGCCTCCAAATACCAAGTAGGCTGGGAAAAACTACTCACTAGACTTGAAGGAGTTTGCTGGTCTTGCTTCACTTCGATTTCCAGTTCTGCCTTGCAGATCTTGGAGGATGGCATTCGCCCGTCTCTTTTCTTCACAGCTGGTCCATCAGACTCCCTCCGCAGCCAAAGGATGGACCGGTCTGGCACATCTTCGATCAACAACGGTTGCAACGTGCTTTACAGAGAGAAATGGGCGGTTTAGCGTTGGTGGTTGAGTTTGGTGGTTTTAAGATTTTTAAGCAGGTTTAAACCCTAACCCCCATCTAAAAAGACATGTTGGGGGTCTGTGTCATCTACTCTGAAACCATTTTGTAAAGCAACGATCAACTAAGTAATCTGGAGAAGAAGACGGGGAGACGACACCTCGATGTTGAACTGTTGGAAGATGTTTCAAAGATTTGACTTTTGGGTGTCCCAGTCGCAGGTTCAGCAGATGAATGACACCATGTTTATAGGTAAATGTCCACGTTTGTCCGGCAACGAGGCATTGCAGGTCCCTCAAGTCCGTCGTCCATCTGCCGATGTAAAGATGGCAGGGCTGGTGTGCCAGGGCTGGCAGGTCAAAGGTGCCGCTGAGATCACTTCCATGCTCCTTGCTATTAGGTTGGAGGCCATCGCTACTAGTAACAAAAAGAAATGAAAATTAAAGAAGTGTTCTTTGGCCGCAACGACTTTCCAACGAAGGGAAGACACTTGTCTCAGGTCACCTTCACGAGAGTTGAGGCTACTGGTTTGGCCAAGATATGAAGGACATCCCCACAAGTGAAGCCGCCCTCGCAATTGGTGGATGTCCTTGTCGGTTCAGGTCCACCAGGCGGCCTTGCATTTACCCTTCGGTGCTCTGCAGAGCTTGCTGCTCACCCGAACCCCGACGGCCCGTCGGTCCGTGACCACCGACTCGCACTAGCGATATCGAAGTGGATTAACACCCAGACACGACCAGTCTGGGACTGCAAAACATGCCGATCAGTTGGGGTGGTTTGGGGGGTCAATGGAGCGGCAGTCCGACATGGCAGTCCCATTACAGTAGTCGTGTCTGGCACATGTTGCGTACTGGGTCTTTTCACCTGAAGCCCGACGGACGTCCAGGCTGGAGCCACAAGCTCACCCGGTCCACCAGGAGGCCCTTGGGACCCTGGCACTGGGCCTCCAGTGCCAGTTCCCCATAGCCAGGATCCCAGCCCCAAACCGGTGATTCCGGAGGATGAAAACCAAAGCCAAAGCCCACACGATGCCCGTTCGCCCTTCTTCCGCCAACCTGTGCAGCTCACCCATCGCTTGGGTCCACCCCGAGCTGCGGAACCTGACAGGTGGCGCACCTGCGAGCTGCGCAGCAACGTGCGCAAGAGCAACACCGGCGAGTACAAGAGGTGAGGGATGTCCGCAAACTGGAAGTTGTGTGGTTCGTGAAGTGGTTCAGATGAAAACATCTGATTTTGGTGAAAGAACCGTGTCATTGTTTACCGTTTGTTACAATACCTAGACGCCCCTTCGCGTCTTCGGGAAAGCAACAGACGCGGGTTCGGTCACCGTGCCACACCGAACGGCAGTCGACTTGGGCTCGAGCTGTAGATAGTTGGTCCACGGCCTCGCGGCGACGGCGCGAGGAAGTCAGGGGACTCGGAGGGCGAGAGGCGGGCAGCCGGGAAAACCGATGGTTTTCGTCAGTTTCAGAAGTTGAAGAGATCCAAAGAAATCAAAAGAAGAGATGGGGAACCCCTCTGGTGGGGTCTTGTTCCACAAAGGTTTCGAGGAGGAACTTGTAAGGACCCTTTGGCATTTTGCGGTCGTTGGATGTCGCAGGTCTTGTTCAACTGACCTGCAGTGGCTGCTTCCACCTCTTGAAAGGCAAAAAAAAGTGGGATCTCAGCAAGTCGTCAAAGACAATCCTTGGACTCTGTGGCTCAGCAACCGGTCTTGAAAGCTCAGCAAGGGGTTACTTCTATAGCCCACTGGTCTTGAAGAATTTCCCATTAGTGGGATGGACCATTTGGGGGGTATGTTGGATTTCTATTTGGGAGACCGAACCGCCGGCAACGAACCCCCTGGAAGGTTCGGAACCCCCAAAGTGGTTGGGGATTCTCCATATTAAAATACACACCTATATATACCTATCTAAAGTATACCTATATATACCTATACCTATCGGTCAGGGTTTGTGTCCAGGTGTTTCAGTGAGTCAATTCCACCAGCGCCAGTGCTTGCTGAGGTGGCCGGAAAAGAGTTTCGGATGATGTCGGGCATCCCAAGGGCATCGGCCGGATGGCCTTTGTGAAGGCCTCGTTCTTCCTTAGCTCCGTAGGATGGTTTTTTTTGACCCTTTTTGGGTTAATAATATTCCCCACAAAAACAATTTAAACATAGGCACTTGTACAGGGGACAAGCTGTTTACTGAAGAAAAGTACGCCAACCAAGCTGTGGGCTTCCGTGCCCTTTTTGACCCCTTAGAAGTAGCATCCATCCATAAGGCTGCAAACGGCAACAAGTGGCTGGAATCTTGAAACAGAGCCATACAATCTACCAGAGGGTTTCCATAAAACCCTTGAACATTTAGATTCTCAGACTTCAACGAAGCCCAAAAAACCTCCTTCTAGCTCAGCCCTTTGTGAACCGACTATATAAACCGCTGAGGTCCACATGGGCATCCTTGAGCGCAAGCCGGGTGCACCTCACCCAGCCCAGACTCGCCGGGGACGCTCGGACAAACGCCGGTGAATGGGGTGATGGGTGGTCGGTTGCGCGGTGCGGGTCAAGCTTGTTTGGTCTGGAACGATTGAAAGGGGGGGTCGTTGACGTCGTTTCTCCAAGGTGTGATTTAGTGAACTGGAAAAAATAGCGATGGCCTCCAACCTTCTACGTAGAATCCAAGTCTGCAAATCTGACTTTCCTGAGGGTGCCTTCTGTGTCAGTCTTCGAAAAGCGGATACGTGATGGAACGTGGACAGTTGCGGCGACCGACGCAATCGGTCAGGCTAATTTGGTCAGTTTGGATATCACTCCTCCTGCACCTGGTTACAGAAAGTGAAGGAAACAGGTTGCCTCACAGCTGGTGGTTTTGGTGTTTTCGTACGAAGCGATGAGTCGTCCTTGAGTCCTTGGGACCATCTGGCACCGCCAACACTCTTCTCAAAGGTCGGCAGCGTCCCGCAGACGGAGGTCGCTTTGCGCCACTTGGAATGGGAACTGCGCCTTTGCAGAACACCAAACGTGCTTGGAGAACTTGCTTCATGTCCAAATAGCCGTAGACTCACCAGAGGTGTGTTCAATCCTCAGCCCAAAAGAGGAGCCAATCAGGTTCGGGAATGGTGTTTGTGGCACACTCATTTTGGCCAATCCCAAAACCATGTTTTTCTGGGCAAATCCTGTTTGGATGTGTCACCTTCCAACACAACGACGTGTCCAAAAAAGAAACTGCGATGTTTGTCGAGCCTGGAAGCCTGTTGGAAGTAGGAGTTCGAGACGTGATTGGGCCCTGTAAGGGCCAATCACGTGGTTTTGATGGGGTTTGCGCTGCGAACCTTTGATCAGCCTTTTTAGGTAGGCCATACCTTGGGAAATGATTCCAGGGGGTACCCTGAGTTGTTGGATTTCTTGTTGGCATAATTTAGCACCTGAGGTATGGGGAGGACTCCTATATAGTAGACCAGAAAGATGCTGAGTTTCAATGTCAGTTTTTTTTTTGCTGATGCCTTGTACTTATACCGTATCTGGAAATCCAGCAACTTGTTGACCAGTGTTCTGACCGCCCAAGATCGGAGATCAATAACCTGGCGCTGGCAGTCGGCACACGATACAATGATGGAAGATTATGATGTGATTCTATCACTATATAGCATGATGTCATGTCCACATGTTTCATAAATTTATCCCGGCAACGGCCCGAACTATATTTGAGGTTGGACTGGAAGGTCTCAGGAACAGTTTATTATTCCGGCAGGTATGGAGGTACCGGTATGCTAGGGCATGGAGGTTTGCCCTCCAAAGGTGAGTGCTCCTATAAAATCATGCACCCTGGTGTTCGTGCACCCTGGTGTTCAACATATGTCAACTTATTAAGCCTACATGATAGGGGATTGTTACCTTCCAATAACAGGGTACTAGCTCCTGGCCCCAAGGCGTACCCCCTAGCCAAAAGGGCCGCCGCTTGTACTCCCCAAACAAGTCATGGTTCTTACCGGTCAAGCAAGTCAGGCCATGTGCCTGACCCCTGGGCCGTGGCGCGGGCACAGGCCACGGGGGAGCACGGCGGGAGCAGGGCTGAGGGGCCGAGTCTGGAAGAAGCTACGAACGGAGCTCCTGGCATTACTACTAGTAGCAAGAAGCTACGAACGTAACAAAGGGCATCGCCACGAACGTAACGAGAAGCTACCTAAAGTCCAATTTGTTGACACTTTAAGAAAAGACTTCAAGGAGCCTAGTAGCGATGTCCTACTAATTTGCAGGAAGATGAGGACATCATGTCGACTCTTGAGATTAAACAGTTATCCCAGTAAAGAGACCTCGTTTTCCAAGATGAGCATATCTGCAGAGTCAGAGAGCGCGTCGGCGCTTGACGGGTCCGCGCGCGCATCGATCGGCCGTCTCGATCCGGCACTGGCGCAAGCGGCGCGCGGCGCATGCCTGCAATAAGAAGCCCTAGTGTGACCAGAAACAAAACTCTTCATATGGGGGGGGTGAGGTCACTCAAGGAGTCTAGATGTTGCTTATTGAATTGGTGTGTCCCGTTGACTATACTGAGTGCTAGAGCAGCCATATGTCCAATGGTTTGGGAAGTGAGACCTGGAGGATTTTGCAAAAGGCTTCTCAAAAGGATGAGAGACCTTCTTTGGAAAGCGCTGGTTTTTGACTTCTTTGACATGTCATTGGGTGGTCCAGGAACTCTGCAATAGGTTCAACAGGTATGCAAATGCATTTCTTCAGCAAAGCATGAACTACTGCATCTTAGACACATTTGTTTCAGTATAGTTGACTGATACAACCCCACATCACTTAGGAACATGGGGTCCCCTGTTCCACTGGTGTAAATCCCGCACTGTTCGGAGCAGGCGCCCCAGGTATATAGATGCAGGAGAACATGTCAACCAATCCTGTCACTACATTGCAGGTTGTCACTCAGCTTATAAGATGATGATCAGGACACAGTTTGCGGCACCAAGACGACACTGTAAGTGATAAAGGTTCGTTGATCCTTTGTGACTTCAGTATACTGTTGAGACAAATGTTGCTTTGAGGATCCATCGTTGAATGGTTTTCAGAAGACTACATTGAGTCCCCATGTGACTAACAACGGAACCCGATAACAGGGGAGTTTTTACTGGGCTCCAAGGCCAGGCCTTGGGCGGGCAGAGTACCTGTTGTTTGGTGTCTTTTTTTAAGGCCATGGGGCACCATGGGGGGCCGCAATAGGCTTAAGTAGCTAAGTAGCTAGCACCGACCAGCCGCAGGCTAGGGCTCAGGCTTCTTCAAAGTACGGGCACCGGGAGCTTCCTTGCAGAAGCCTGAGCTTTAATGGTTTGGTTCCTAGGTTCTTAGGGAAACTTGAGAGTGATGGCCTCCAACCTACCAGCGATGGCCTCCAACCAAAAGCGATGGCCTGAGCCTTAATGATATGGTTCCTAGATTGTTTGCGAAAGGAAACTTGTAACGTTCCGCAGAAACATGGGCCAAGGACAAACAAATCATGAGCCGCAGATGAAGCAACTTAAACATGAAGCCTTGGAAGCATTGTGAACTCCAGAAAACTAGCAAATGGGTAGCGTTGTTTATTTGAATGATAAAAAGTTAGGTTAGACTGTAACTCACCAACTTCTTGCGAAGGCATTTGTGTGATACATTATTTGTGGCAAAACCAGATCGCGAAGCCTTTGGTGTCGCGCGAAGCCTCGCGAAGCCACCCTTCCCACAAATTCTGACCCTGCGAAACCCCTAGCGCAGGCAACTCAGCAGTGTGTAGGCACTTTGCTATTTAAGCAGAAAGAACCCACCCAGCTCAAATGAAAGCAAGAGTCTGCTGTTTTTTTGAATCCGTCGAAAGTCCGAAACTTCCACCAGGCAGACCGTGGACGTCCCGTGGAACGCTGGTCTGCCTTCACGGTGCCTCTCCGTCAGAACGATCGGCGGGTCGGTACCGCCGTTATCGTACCGGTCGGTCGACCGGTGAGCCCAGAGCAACCGTTGGAATGGTTGGATCTTGAAAGGTTACTAGAAAGCTTTATTGTGACTACAGTGGCGATGGCCTCCAACCCAATAGCAATGGCCTCCAACCCAATAGCGATGGCCTCCACCGTGCGTAGCTTCTAGTTACTAGATGGACCTGGTTTGCCACGGATGTAGTCATGGATGTTGCCCGAAAAATGTGAAATCTCCTGCC